AACAATAACGTTCTAGAAACACAACCGCTGGTCGGGTGCTGTTCCCCGATTGTCGTGACCAAGGGTCATGACAATTAACCGACAGGATCCGATAAGCAGTCTTCCTGTACTCTTTGTGCCTTTCATAAGCCGAAAAAGCGGTCCGCCCAAAATGAAAAAAGTAATTGTTTTTTCAACGGGCAATGCTGCCTTGAACCCCTCGAGTCTTGAGACCACTAAAAACTTCTCAAAAACATTTTTCAGAAGGAGCAAGGGCGCCGTTCGGATTGGAGGGAACATTAGGCACTCCAGCTGGTTCTTTTGCTAGTTCATGTTCAATAACAGGTCTCCCTCTGATGAGACCTGAAGACTCCTGCAAAACTGCGGGATCTCGCGGATAAGTCACTTTGGTCACAGAAATTCACATGCATTCACATGGTAGGCTGTACAAGCTCAGCTTAGCGTACGATTCGCTGCACCCACCAAGCCGAACGGCGCCGAAAGAAAGAAATTGTACTCAAGAAGCTTGTTGAAACGAACCTCAACCAGTTTGACAACGTTCGGATGACTGAGCTTTTTCAATATTGCAATCTCTTTTTGAACGAGTTGTAGGGGATTTCTATGGGTTGTTGGTGGCGCTTTCGATTTCCGTGCTGGCGGCGCTCCTGCAATTGTGACGAAAATTGTGTTATCGTGAACGGATGATGAGTATTTAGATTGGAATGTTTGGGGAGAAACTCACGGAAACACGCGAAATTCTTCAGTAATTTGATTTTATCCAGCACTTTCAGCGCGTAAAGGTTCTTATCTTCTTCGTTATACGCCAATTTCACGATACCGTAAGAACCCTGAAGTTGGAAATAAACCAAATGTTGATTTGAAGAGTGAAAAGACGTATTATTTATGTGCCGCAGTCGTTCAGCCACGTTTGGTAAGCTTTTGGGTCAATTTTGGCCCAGATGGGCCACCCTTCGCCGGAGTTGTGCCTTATCAAGTGCGCTGGATTAGGCTTTCTTCCCAGCAAAGGCTTTCTTCGGAGGACGAGAATATCCACGGCAGGGTGCCCTACAAAGGGCAATAGATTCCTGGTTGCTTATATTAAAAAAAACCTCCCGATCGGAACTATCGCATAATTGTCAGCCTTTCCACCAACTCGACAATCAGGGCACGTCGTTCGTCGGGGATCCCTAGAAAGGGGGGGGACGGAGAGGTCGTAGATGCTTTTGAGAAAGACTCCCTCGGTTGTTTATATTTCTCGGTTTTCCTGTTTCAAGTGTGCTATATACCCCAATCCGTTCGAAGGAGGGACTGCAAAAGAAAAAAAAACCGAAAAAAGTGGTAGGAACGAGGATTCTGAAAGAAATTTCCCGGATAAAGTGGTAGGAAGTCGCTTCAGGAAGATGGT